GCCTCTGATCTCTCGATTATGTTCTCATTGTTCGAATTTCTCATTGATCATCGTTTCACACTCCAGTTGTGGTAGACCGATGTGAATGTTATAGTCACCAACGATAAATAGATTGCAATTCGGATATTTACGTTTGATGTGAGTCACAGTTGATAAGTGCACAGAGTAAGCGTCAGCTCGAGATAGTGGGGGTATGTAAACACAACCTAAAATAATGTCCCTGCCGCAACCTTTTATTTTGATGTATACTTGCTCTATCATGCTTGTGCTGACTAGTTCAGCCACAATGTCACGCTTAACAGCAATGAGCACCCCTCCTCCGCGTTCACACATACTGGTCTGTCTCCGTCTCTTCTCAAATACTGTAGTTGCTATCCACTATCTCTCCGTCTTTAATTGTTGATTGCAGCCAGGTCTCTGTAATACATAGGACATCACAAAGGCACCCCGCAGACGTAACTAAGAAGTTTTTTAGTTTAGTTCTGAGTCCTCGAACATTCTGGTAATACACCAGAATGTCTCTGTTGGTTCTCATGTTTCTCCTTGGGGGTGCGAAATGCAGGTATGTTCACAATTCTAGGAACTCCATTAACATATTTGATGGTCTTATTACTTATCCCTCTCTTGGTCATTTCCTCCACGTCCACATTTTCTGGACGTATCTTCCCGTTCACCGCCCTGCCAACCCTACGTAGCTTAGCGTCCACATCACTCGATTTCCCAGACTCAGGTACATTAAATGCCAGGACATTCTGCTTTCGCCTTTTTTCCTCTTTAGTTTCAGCAATTATATAGTCAGCAGCATTGTGGTTAGCACTAGTAGTCTCACTTTCAAAGTTCACCAGCTTGGCTTCGACAGCATCAACCCTTTTTTCCAGTAGGGCCTTGACGTGTTCGAACTATGGACCCCAGCTCGGACCTAATATTGTCCTTTTTTTCGATATCATTCTTGAATGTATGGAATTGCTCGCTGAAGACTTTCGTTATTCTAGCGACTATAGTATCGCCAGCAGAGTCACGCACATCGTCCCCAACTATTACAATAACCTCACTTTTGCAACTATCGCATGCCCATTTGGTATTGTTTTTTTTTTTATCTCAGCAGCTAGCTTGCTAAATTATTTGGTGCTTAGCCCTGTACACTTATAGTGGATCCAAGTTCCACACTCTGAACATAGAGTACTTGATGAGTTTTCTCTAATTAAAACAGAGCAGACACCACACTTGACTTTCAACGACGCCATATTATTCAGTGGTCCGAATTCGATTTTTAGATGACCGAGCTCGTTATAATTTGGTTTTCCGCTGTTGTTGCGTGAAGGGAACTCCTCCATAGTGTATCCTTCCCTTTTTGGTATCTTATTAAATTAAATTTTTCCCAAATTTGCGGAGAAGCGTGCCTTCAGTTGCCAGGGTTGTATCATGGTAACTTTTGCACCATGGTATATACCAAGGCACATTGAACAGGTAGTATCATTAGAGCAGCTGATTTTTCAAATTTTTTTGGTCCCAAAAATATCATATATTTTTAATTTATTCTTACGAAATTCTAAGTGGTTAAAATCTGTTTGCACGTGAAACCTTTTTCCGTACAAAACAAGCGAGTTAATAGCAGCTTTTGAAACGTTCGCCCAACTCAGCAGCAAAACCGCTGATTACTGGGGATCAATGCTTCGAGAA